TGCATGAGGCCCTGCCTGGGTTTGAGCTTCAACACCACAAAAATAAATAGATAAATGCCCAAAGCAATTGATTTCTTTTCTTTTTTTCTTTTTTTTGATTTTTTGAGACAGGGTCTCACTATGTAGTGGAGACTGACCTGACCTGGAACTCACTATGTAGCCCAGGCTGGTCTTAAACTCACAGTGATCCTCCTGCCTCAGCCTCCTGAGTGTTGGGATTACAGGCATGTGCCACCATGCCCTGCTTAAGTAATTGATGTTTGATCCCCACTTCCTCTACCAGTTCTCCTCATTTTCTTCACCTTTGCAAATGACAGAAAGATGTACCAATATGTCCAAAGCAAAATGTTTCCCATGTTTCATATCCAGTCAGTCAGGAAGTCTTATCAGCTCTGTCTCCAGTCTGTACCCTGATCCAACCACTGGCCCATTTCCAGGGCTGTACCCTCATGCAAGCCCAACCTTCCTTGCACTGGGACAGGTCCCCCAGCTTCATAATCAGACTTCTTCCCACTCAGCCTCATCCCAGCTGCTCCTTCTGAGGCACGAATCAGATTCACTTCCCTGCTTAAACCCTAGCACTGAAACTAGAAATAAACTGAACTTCTTTGTTGAAGGTACAAGGCTCCTCCTTCTGTCTGCTGCCTGCCTCCTTCTGCTGTCCCCTTGTCACCTTGCAGGAGCCACAGGGACTTCTCCCAGGCTTTTCTGTCACATGGCCTTTGCACTTGCTGTTTCTTTACCTAACAGCTCTTGCAACTCCAATGGTTAGCATGCTCAGGATCTGCAGTCACTCATGGCGTGTGTGTGTGTGTGTGTGTGTGTGTGTGTGTGTGTACCCTGTGCTGCACGTCCCTTAACCCTGACCCCCTGATAGAATAGAACAGGAGCTCCTGTCTACCTTGTTTGAAGCTGTATCCCTGAGTCTGGCAAAGACCTGACTCGGAGTAGAAGCGCAGTGTGTTCTGCCAGCTGAGCCACTGACTGCGGGGATGGCAGCTACGATGTCAGAAATGGAGTAGAATCAGTCCAACCCCACAGTTTCACAGATAGGGAAACAGAGGCACCGAGACAGCCACATGCTTGACTGAATGAACAAAATCATACCCAACTGAGTTGCCATGTGTGATCCTTAGACTGTTTGCCACCAGCTATGGCAGCCAATAAGGCAAGGGTTATTTTCCCTTAAACGTCTTTGCCAAGTTATCATAAGAACAGATCTCAGAACACGTTCTGGTGCTCATAAAAATGTCTAGGAAACAAACTTTTATGGGCAAGCAGCCACAAAACTGGTTTCTGTTTGGTTTTATTCTGTAAAGTCAATGAAGGCCTAGTTCCCTGACCCATTAGAGATCTACCACCCACAGGAAGGGTCTGCTCGAGGAAGATGGAGTGCTCTAGAGGCAGGGCTCAGCGGGGCTGTTGGTCACATCTGAAGGACAGCGGCCCTGTGGAATTAACCTCAGGCATCATCTCCAAGTAGAAACCAGCCGCTTCCCTTCCTTTTTATTCTGAACAAGGAACAGGTGGTGTCTGCACTGTATTTTAGCTAGTCTATGTATCTTTTTTTTTTTGGTACCTGGGATTGAACTCGGGTCTTTGCGCTTGCAAAGGAGGAGGCAGAACCACCGAGCTAAATCCCTGGCCCAGTCTGTGTATCTTGAACTCTCTAAATTCACCAACGAAGAGCTCAGCACACACCTGTTATGCTAATTAATGCACAAGATTTCACCAGTGCACTCACTGTGCTAATCAGCAAAGTGTAGGGTGGACTGAGGTTTGGATGGGTGTGGAATACTGATCGTGCCAGGCCATGCATGTTCAGCAGGCGAACTCTTGGGTTCGCCGACCTCAAGTTGGAAATACCCACACTATGGAAATCATTGATATCCTTTCCTCGCCCCAGCCAGTTTGAAAATTTTCAGCATATCAGTGGAGAGCTGAGTGAATGACCTCTCTGGGGTATGGCTTTCTGATAAAATATTGACAGAAGCCCTTAGCTTCATGACTAACTGTACATGGTGATGCTTAAATCCTGGCTGCAGTTTAGAAATTACCTGGGGCTGGGTGTGGTGGTACATGCCTGTAATCCCAGCACTCGGGAGGCTGAGGCAGGGGATTGCTGTGAGTTCGAGACTAGCCTGGGCTACACAGTGAGTTCCAGAGCAGTCTGAACTACATAGTGAGACCCTGTCTCAAAAACCCTAAAAAAAAAAAAAAAAGTTACCTGGGAACATGAAATTCATACTGATTCTCAGGTCTCTGTTTGTAAGATTCCAACTTGACTGGGATGGTGCTTGAATACCAGGGTACATTTTATTTTTTGAGACAGGTGCTCACTATGTATTCTGGGCTGGCCTTAAACTCAGTATGTAGCCTAAACTGTCCTTGAACTCATGGCATACTCCCGTCCTCCTACCTCAGCCTCTTGAGTGCTGGGACTATAGGTGTGCACCACTATGCTTGGATTTTTTTTTTGGTGGTGTGGGGAATTGAACTCAGGACCTTGATCTTTTTTAAAATTTTTTTATTATATATATATTTTTTTTGTACTGGGGATTGAACTCAGGCCCTTGTGCTTGTGAGACAGGAGCCGGAACCACTGAGCTAAATCCCCGGCAGGACCTTGAGCTTTTGAGGCAGGTGCAGTGCCACTGAGCTGAATCCTGGGCCCCTCTGCTTGGATTTCTGTGTGGGGGTAGGGGTGGGGTGGTACTAATGATTGAATCCAGGGACTTCACACTGAACTTTATCTCCAGTCCTTTTTTAAAATTTATTTATTTTAAATTTTGAGACAGAGTCTTACTAAATTGCTCAGGCTGGGCTTGAACTTGTGATCCTTCTGCTTCAGCCTCCTTGGTGTGCTGGGGTAGCAGGCCTGTGCCACACACTAGGCTCAGGGTGCATTTAAAGTTCACCAGGTGATTCTTATCTGTTGTGTGTCACATTATATCACATATTCTAAGGATCCCACAAAAAGGTAATGGATTAGCAGCCCAGAGTTCCTGGGAAAAAGTGGAAAACAGGTAATCATTTTTTCTGAGGTCTCCGTATTTGCAAACATGGCTCAGGAGTGCGCCTTGCACTTGGGTTGCAGAGTGTGGATGCCGAGGTACAATGAAGGAGCCCTGTGCCAGCCCCAAAGAGCTCCACCTTCCACATCAGGGGCGGCTCACCCTGAGCTTTCAGGCATCTTACAGGAGAAGGGCTGACAGTGCCCCCTCAAAAGCTGTGTGCCATGGGGGGTGATGGGGAAGGTGAGAGAGGACAACAGGAAGGAAAACCCCACCGGGGGGCATGTGGGTAGCTGGGCCTGAAGCCTAATTCAGAGAGTGGGAAAGGAGGGTAGGACGCCCCTCTGGGAGGGTACAGGGGAAGACTAGTTCTCTAGGGGATGGAGAGAACTACAGGCTTCTAGGGATGGGGAAAGAAACCAGCACCCCAAAGCATGAGTAATGCTAGCTACAGGTCGGGGAGACTCTAGCCTCCAGAGAGGAGTCAAATGTTAGTCCTCCTTACAGGACAGAAATGACATCTTTCAACATGGTGGTAAGATGTCCTCTCAGCTTTGGTCTTTCACTTGAAGGTAACTTATATCAGCCTCTGGTTGGCCTGGGCTAACCTACCCTAGCCCTCCTCCGGTACCAGAAGTTTCCTTCTTGCTCTAACAGGCAGGGCATGGCCTCCCCCAAACCCCTAGTCTCACTGTCTTCCTGCCAGGAAAGAGCCTGGTGCCTCACTAGCCTGTCTCAGTTTCTCTTCCTGTCTCTGTGCATATGCAGGAGAGCTGGAGCCCATGGCAGGGCACTGGAGAAGCTGTCATTCCTAGAGTCACCATCAGGGACCTCACCAACACTATTCGAATTCATGGCCTCTGGGCCATGCATTTAATTACTGAGTGCCCCAAACAGATGGACTGCCCGCCTCTCAAGCGGAGCTAGGCCTCAGGGACAGGAAAACAACAATGAGGGAAGTTCTGGGACCAGCTTGTGTGGAAGACAGACTCACAACCACCTCTGATGCCAGGCAGAACTGAGGCCAGGCCGGAAGAGACAGGGTCACAAGCTAGCTGCCCCGGGGAGAGAGGATGGGCGCTGCCAGAGAGGGATTCCCAGGAGGAAGCCCTGGGGGCAGGGCTGGCCCAGGCGTTCTAGAGGGGGAATTCCAGGATCTGTAAGGGAAAGGCCTGGTGTAGATTTGTCCCAAGAGGAGCCTGAGGCTCCCTAGGAACAGCTAGGCCCTAGCCTGGACTTCTAGCCTACACCTTCCTAGATGCAGCACCCGCTCCTCCTCAGGCTGGCAACCCCCTATTTTATTGCATTCACGTCTTGCACATGTGTCTTTAGTATCTGGGCGGTTAATTCCTGCCCCTTTCCCATAATCTTTTCTTTTTGGAGGGGGGGGTGTACCGGGGATCGAACTCGGGTCCTTGTGCTTGCAAGGCAGACGGAACCACTGAGCTAAATTCCAGGCCCCATAATCTTTCTCTTGACCAGTGTAAAGCCTGCTCCTTCTTTTTCCTTCTTTTTTTTTTTCTCAGGTGCTAGGGGTGGAGCCCAGGGTCTTAGGCAGGCGCTGCACCACCGAGCTACGGCCCTAGTTCCCCCAAAGCCTGCCCTCCCAGAACTCCGATCAGGCACGCGCGCTCTCTCTTCCAGCGTACGTCTGCCCTGCCTTCTCCTACGCCTTCCTCCGCACCGGGAGCGCGGGCGGTTTCAGGTTTTCGGCCGCAGCTGCCTCGTAAAACTCGCCCAGTCCCCAGGCTCCGTGGCCTCTCAGTCTGGAGCCGCAGCCCCGCCCC